GCCTGCCTATTACACTTTGGCATATCCAGCTGTTGTATGGATGCCAAGACTTTTTGAAGGAGTTCATCCTTAAAAGTTTGTCTAAAGCTATTTTGAAAATGTCTTGCAGATAGTTCAAGAAAATAAAGACGAATTCTTAACAGAAATGGATGGTGTAACCCCATTATGCAAGAAACACTTTTCAGAAATGGTGCCTTCTGAGTATCTGTAATAATTTATTTTAATCAATGGCTAAACAGTTCAGCCCATGAAGTTTCTGTTCATTGCATCAGTTCAGTGTTAGTTGATCTCTCTTTTAGGTCCATCTGAAGTGTCTGCCATCATGAAATTCAGAAGGAGACCAACATGTCCTGATGCCTCAGTGGCAGCAGGTCTACCAACACCTCCTGTACCAAGGCACAGGAAGAGTCACAGCCTGGGAAACAAGTACGTACTCCAGTCTGTCTCGCCCTCAAGCAATTCATGCATCACAAAGGTTTAATCTAGCAGTAGAACACTCTTTGATATTTGCTTCTTCCATTTGTTGAACTGTAGGAGTGCTTCAAGTTTTACTGCGTGTTCCCTAGGATTTCTCAGAGAGACACTCAACACTCTGTTATTTTTGCTAATGCTATTTTCCGCTAGAGCCAGAAAGGAGCAGTACTACTCAAAAGCTGCATATACACTTTGGTCTGTAGATGTCTGATGTGTATAACAGATATTTTTTAGCATCTAAGTAATACGTCTTAGGAAACTTGCTGTCTGCTTAGTGATCCTTCCTTATTATTCAGGAAAGTTGTGCGTTTTTGCAGTGTTCTAGCTTGGTAACGTGGATTAGATACATTTTTCTCTGTAACATTTACCCAGCTAAGTAAGAGCACCTGCTTTCCAGTTAGAGTTTCAGTGTCTAACAAATTTCACAATTAATGGGTTAAGGAAAAAGAAGTTTATGTCACCTTTCCCAAAGTCACAGAGTGTGAGTGTGTTAGTTGAGCTTAGCAAAGGACCACTGAGCAGTGGATTAGCTGCTTTTCTACCTTTGTCTCTACCCAAGTTGTTCAGCTTCTGTACAGAGAAGAGTCAAAAAAAACTTAATACGTTTCTGCAGGTGGGAATTTGTAACGGTTAATTGTAAAGGCCACAGAAATATGAAACTTGTTTTGGTAGGCAAGGAGCATATGTACAAGCAGTAGGAAAATGGGGAGAAGTACTGTTTAACTGCCTGCTACTTAAGAACTTACTGACGTTTATGATCATTGTATGGTGAGGCACAGCCTGAGTGGAAAAATCAGGAGCAAAGGGTTGTTATCAGATTACGTAAGAGCTTTTTGGCATTTTTCTCTTTCTGATTCTCCAGCATGATGTGTCAGCTCAGTGTAGTGGAGAGCAAAAGTGCCACATTTCCAACAGAGAAGCCGCGCCATCTGCTGGATGACAGTGTCTTGGAATCGCACAGCCCTGCCCGCAACCACATGCTAAGCTCTGTATTCTCTAATGGCATTTCCATAGGTAAGGTCTGTAGGGAGAACTGCTGTAGGGAGATGTATGTGCTTTTCTGTACTGGTTCTCTTGAAACTCACTAAGATACCCAAAAATATGAAATTAGGAAAATCATTAGCTGGTGGACAAAGATTGGTCCCTTTTGTAGAAGAAAGTAGGTCAGAACAGCTACTCGTCTACCTATTCAACTTTATCTCACACAACTTTCCTCAGTTACCTGCTGATGGTTTTGACAGAAGTGGCGTAAAGGAAGATTGCTTTGTCCGTGCTCTGTGTGTAACACAGACTGTTTGTCAGTTTTCATCAGCAAAAGAAAAGTGCTATTTAAAATAGGATATCATTTCAAAAGCTACATTTTCACGAAGAAAATTTGTTTTGATGGTGTATTTTAGAAGATGGGAGAGTAGTATAGCTGTGTTCTCTGTGAGACTTCAAAAGAAGCATAATGAACTTGTAAAAGAGGATAGTGGCAACTACGTTATGGTATTATAATTAATAAAATAATTGTAATAATAAAAACAAAATGACTATTTCTAGGATAGGAAATAGACTATGAGGGCTAGCAGGATACTTGATCAAAGAAAGCTTGACACTAAGATGGTCTTTGAAAATACAGACACTCAGTATAATACAAAATGGTAGAAGGCACCACAGAATGGCAGAAGATCAGTCTTGGGCAAATTAGAACAATCTATGTATGTAAGTCAAATAGCTATGCCAAGGAAGGTGGGAGAAATTGCTCATGGGCTTGGGAAAGAAATAGGGATGATCATTGTGAATGCCATCCCATTGATTTGCTGTGGCTCCAAGCAGCAGCATACAGCTGCCATACCCTCCAAAGAGTGATACCATATCTAATGTTCTAATAACTTTAATCCACCTACAAGTGTTGTTGTAGAAATAATCTTACAAACTGACTTAATTTTATGTTCCTGAAGTACTTAGCTTTTTGAAGGAAAAGCAACATTATGAAAATGAAAATAATATGCAGACATTTGGCATTTAGAACATAGCATAAACATAAATGGAAGGGCTCATGTAAGCCTCTTTCGATTTCAGATTTTACCTTAAACTCAGAAGACTTCAACTCTGAAACATTATTTAAATAAGCAATTTCCATAGTACTATGTAAAGATTATTCTGATGATTCACCTACTTTGGCATTTTATTTTCCCTTGCATGATTTTCTTGCTCCTTCTCTGTGCTCCTCCTTTTCTAGATAGCAGTGAAAGCTCAGAATTTAGTGAGGAGCTGTCTTCAGGGCTTGAAAGGTGAGTTAGTCTTCATTTACACTAACTCAGCACTATACAGAATTAGCTAAAAAAATTCCCAAATGACCCCTAACACAGAAAAACCCTAAATCAGGAGTTTTTTTTTTATCAAATTATTGATCAGTTAAGAAAAAATGGTAAACTGTAAACTGGCTGTTTTTTCCCGTGGGAACTATTTCTATCATGTTTACCAAGCTCTAATTGTTGAAGATCTCAGACTAGAATTTTCCTTATGAGATATTTACATTCACAAACAGGGGTCGTTTGTATGCCACGCTGGGGCCCAACTGGAGGGTACCAATCCGGAATTCTCCCAGAAGTCAGAGCTGTGTCTACAGGTACCGTTCATGGTCTGCCTTGCTTAGTATATGGTGCTAAATTTTCATTTGAGTCTCTACGCTTTCCTAGCCTAATGTATTTTTGTGAATAAAAGTGTCCCTGTATGACCATATTAACTAATGGGAGCCCATCTGATGAAGTGGGGCAAAAGTACCTTTGCCAACAGGCTGGCCAACCTGGGAGGCAGGGCTTTAAACTAGGAATGACAGGAGAGGGAGAGGATGACCAACAATCAAGTCGTGGGTGGGGCTGGCAAGCAAAGGGTCTTAATCACCAAAACAGAGCTGGCGTGGAATCACCTCGAGCGGCGTATGCAGGTAAATAAGGAAGTGCCTATGGGAGGACACTATGGGGAAAGCTCTCATAGCACGCGGGGCAGCCTCTCTGAAGTGCCTGCACACTAATGCACGCAGCCTGGAGAGCAAATAGGAGGCATTACAGATGTGTGTGCAGTTGCATGGCTGTGATCGCATTGGGGTCACGGAGACATGGTGGGATAGCTGGCACGCCTGGAGTGCTGCGACGGACAGGCCAGAAAGGCGAGGAGAGGGAGCTGCCCTTTATGTGAGGGAGCAGCAGGAAGGCATGGAGCTCTGCCAAGGGAAGGGAGAAGAGCCAGCTGAGAGCTTATGGGTCAGGATTAGCAGGCAAACCGACAGGGGTGACACCATCGTGAGTTTCTGCTGTAAACCGCCTGATCAGGTAGAAGTAGATGAGGCCTTCTTCAGACAACAGGAAGAAGTCTCACATTGCATCCATACCTTATCTGGGCTTGATAAATTCTGTGATAGCAGGAAGTGAAGAAGTGTATATGAGCAGCAAAAAGAATAGACTGCAGAAAAAGTGTTCTGCAAATACTGAGGTTTTTTTGGAGTTTAAATCCAGTCAGTTTTTATTTTATCTGAATTACTTTACTTCAGCCTTTGTAGAATATTGAAATAATGTGTAAATATAAGTACAGCCGTTTCAGCTGAGTAAGTAAATCTACCAGCAGCAAATGTAGAATATAGTTATAAAGGAATGTAAATGTATACATTACAAATAAATACAGGGAAAAATTATTGAACAGTATTTTAGTGACTGCCATTATACCTACTTCTGAAAAATGTTCTTACACATGTCTATGATGAATTTGTTTCAAAAATTTACGAAATTATTAAAATATAAGAAGCTAAAAAAAATGAAAAGCGTATTAAATTCACAGAAAGAATTAGCCCCTAAAATATATTTCTCACATTTATCCATAGTTAAGTAATTCTAATGCTTGCATTCAATCTTCCTTTTTCTGGAATCCTCTACTGCTTCTTTTATAAAACTTGTACGATTGGCAAGAATGCCCGTTAGCACAAATAGGGCAATTCCATTTAACCAAAGAAGAAACATCTACCAGTTTCAAGTGTAGCTCTTTTACAGGTGTGGTCGCTGTGTATATCACTTCTGCCAGAGTGTTTATATGATATCGTCAGACTTGTTCACAACAGAACAGTGTTTCTTTCACAACTAAATGGTAGATGACATGCATGTGCTTTTTCTTGTATTTCATTATCACACATGTAATTGGCTGTAGTAAACTGCATTGGCCCTTTTCTGTATAAAAATACCAGGGCTGTAATCACGTGGCCATGAAGGGATTAGCGACGTAGATAATTGTAGTACATCATCACCTACCAGTCTCTCTTTGGTTGTTATGTTCTTAATCACCATCTACATTTCTAACTTAACCTGTACTTGGGTCTCTTTGGTTGCAGCATTTTTTCACTGTTATAGGTAGGAAGCTCTGTGTTTGTACTGCACAGGGAAAAAATATTTTAATCTCTGTGCATTAAGTTATTTGCCTTATTATTCAGTTTTTCAAACTTCTATCCAGTTAGCCAACATAATTTTATTTGTTCTTTTTGATAGCTAAAATTTATTTTGCAATAAAATTACATTTGTAGGAATTTTTATTACCAAAACTTTAAGCTGCAAGTTTCCAGAAGTCCAGATAATTTCTGAAGTTTACCGGGATAAAATGGAACATTACCTGTTCCATTAATATTTATTCTGTTTTATTTTATTTTGTTAATGTGTAAGCCCCAAGAACAGAATCTTCTGTTAATCTGCTAAGGATTTTTCAAAGATCGAGTTCCTTTTGTGATATTTAGGTCTGAAAAATATGTATCATAGAGTTAATTGTCAGATGACACAATATATGCACAGTAAAATGTATTTAGAGTTAAATTATGTTACTTACTTTTTGTTCTTATTTGTCTGCTCAAATACATGTGGTGATATTTTGTCTTTCCAGCCCAATAGGAGCCTGTAGCTGCACATTAGGTAGTTCCACTAGAGTCATTACCATGGAAGGGCCCTTAAGAAGGAAAACATTGCTCAAAGAAGGCAAGAAACCTACTGTAAGTGGACCCTCCCTGTGATTTTAATTCAGTAGTGGCTATTTTAATTGCCAGGATTAGATTCAACTTCCAGCAGGAGACCAAACAAAACAGTGTTCCTTTTTCTAAACTATTGCAAAATCACTTTCTATTCAAAGTTTTAACTGGGTTAATAAGGTTACAGTCCTTGCCTGTCATTTGCTTTACAGCAGCTTTGCTTCTCCCTGCATACGCAAGTGACATCTCTAAATTGTGGCAGCAGAAGACGAGGCCAGCAACTCTATAAGTCTGCAAGCATTTCTGTAAGGCCAGAAACTTGGTGTCAGGGTGAAAAAGGAAGGCTGCAGGGCATCTACCCTTAGCACAAGAGTCATGGTCATTCATATTTATTCTAAATGTTTCTGATCTTACACATTTGGTGATTTTTCATTTTCTTTAGAGTTCACATGGTTTGTATGTGAAACACTCCTGTCCAATCCTAAAAGATTTGATGACCTGCAGAAGTAACATTCCAATGAATGTTATTGATTAAACACAGAAGTGTTAGATGTATCCAGTAGAAGGCAGCGTACTACTATGCTGTGAAGCAATTAGTCCAGAGATTTCCATCAAGCATCCAAGTACGATGGATTGTATTCATAGGCAGGTACCAGAATTTAGGTAGCTGGGATGAGTTACACCAGAAGGCACTCTGTATCTAACTCTCCATTCCTTGCTTCTGAGCTTAAATTTGGCAGCACTTGGACTTGCTGGTTAATAGTTTTTTTGAAATGTCTTGAGATATGATAAGTTTTTCCTAAGTCTTTTTTTTCTTTCTGATTTAGTTCTCGTCATGGACTAGATACTGGGTTACACTTTCAGGATCAACTCTTCTGTACTTTGGAGTGAAATCTTTAAGAGGCACTGAAAGAAAACATGTAAGGCTTAAAATTTGTTGTAAAAAAATTGCATATTCATAAGCAGATCTGGAAGGGTGTTTGAGGTGTATTTGCTATTGTTCCAGGCTAAACCACGTCTGCACAGCTTTTACAGTCAAAAATTAATTCCCAGTACAGTCTCAGTAGTGACCGACTTTCTATCTCTTCCAGTATAAATCCACACCTGGTAAAAAAGTCTCCATTGTGGGCTGGATGGTGGCACTGCCTGATGACCCTGAACATCCTGATATTTTCCAGCTAAATAACCCTGATAAAGGTAAATGTTGCAGGATGGACCTTCTCTGCACTGCATTTCTGTGAAAGGAAGTAGAATAATAGCTGTTAATGTGTTTGTAGATAACAGCACTTGCAGTGACACTCATTTAAAAGATTGAAGAGGGAAAATTTCAAGAAAGGGTACAAAGGGAGTTAAACATACTTTTACAAATGCTGTGGTGCTTCTGTGGTGCGTTCAGAGGTATTTAACAGTTACTGTAAGATTTACAGAAATTGCCTCACTAATATGAGATTGCTTTCTTAAAATTGGTCAGTCTCAAATCTTGGCTTAGAGTGAGGCCAATTTAAGTATTATGGAAAACCTTCAAGCATCAAACAGTTTATCAAAAAATAGATAATTAAAAAAAACCTTTAGATTACTTTTTAGCAATTAATTCTAACATGCCATAACTTTTCCACCTTGATCAAACTTCAAAAACTTTCAAAGGTCCGAAGGACCCTGGAATTATTTTGCGCTTTCAGAGGTTACATAAACATTTTTGAGGCTTTGTTTCCTTCCCACATTTTCAACTTCACAAGTTCACAAATGTCAAAAACATCCATAAGAAGTTTACCAAAAACATCCATAAGAAGTTTACCAGTAACCACAGCAGACTTAACGAGAAGAAATCTGCTCACCTTCCTGACAGGTCTGTTCTGTGACTGTAATTTGGCCTCACTGCCCACATATTCCTCTTAGCTTTACAGAGCGTGTATGTTCTTATGCTCCTTTCACCCATGGAGTGTTGGTTAACATACCTCCCATGGACTCTATTGTATTAGTAAGATGCTATTTGAGCATTTGAGGTGAAAATTAACTTAACTGCTTAATTAAGAACTTTGGCTCCCGCAGAGAAATTACAATCCATTGAAGCTGTATTTCTGTCTGCAAATTTAGAGCCCTTTATTTTCTTAATTTTGTAGGCAATGTTTACAAGTTCCAAACTGGTTCAAGGTTTCATGCAATATTATGGCATAAGCATTTGGATGATGCATGCAAAAGCAACAGGCCTCAGGTAAGGTTGTGAAACAATATTTCTACTCAATTTTTCTTGTCTTCCAGAAAAACCTTACTAGAAGAAGATGCCTCTTTTCAAACTGTGTGCACACAGTCCTGTGGGGACAGATATAACTCCTCGTTTTGTACATTGATCCAGTTTTGCTATAGCAGAAATAAAAGTTATTTAAGGCTACAGAATTCCCACCAAAAATCAGGTTTGTGCAGGTCTAGCTATAGGTTCGGTGACCTTAATAGTGCACAACCTTTACACTCACTGTTTCAAGTGAGGTAACCTCGTCTTTACTTTGGAAGGATCTTTCTCATAAATAGAGTGGCGAACATGCCAGCATTTACTCTGATGACTGGGTTCATAAGTAGCATTGAGGAGAGTGTCCCATAAGATGTTATGTTTGTTCTTTAGATAGCAGCCTCGTTCTTCTGAGGAAAATGTTTGTCCTCAAAAGGATTTTCAAAGGTTATATTACTAGGATGCTGCTCCATGTAGGAGATAAAACAGGATGGAGCTTGAGAATCTTCTTTACGCCCACCATAGCCCCTCGCCCTGACACGCGCTGATGAATTCTTAGACCGCTTTGGCTGGATTTGGTCCATGAATAGAAAAACCAAACCATTTGAGTCTTTATCTTTCCTTCTGGTTCTGGGGTTAGCCCTCTTTTGGGCCTGCTTGGGACTGATCACACTGTCATACTAATAAATGGTTGGCTCACTATATTTTGTAACCTTGTAGTTTCTTAATGCCATAATAGTTTCAGGAGCTTTATACTGCTGAATAATTTATATTCTCTTGCAGATACCTGCTAATCTAATGTCATTCGAATAATTTCCTCTCTTACGTGGTGTGACTTCAAGTGCCAAACTGAAGAAACAAACTGTTGTCCTCTAAGGAGGAAGAGGAGAAAAGAATGATTTTTCCTGACATGAGCCAGCCACAAATATTTCAGCACTTTCCTGTGTAACTTGAAAGTGATTCTGACACAGCTTTTAAAAGCAGAAAGTGAATGTTGTCCTTAGGACCAGATAAAGTCTCATGCACTGAGAGAAAGTAGACAACTTAGATGGACAGAAGATTAATCCTGACTACTGCAGGATTCTAGAGCCCTCAACTTTAATTTTGTGGTCACAGACTGCCCTGAACTGATGTTCAGCCACAAACTTTGCATCATATCTTCTGCCTATTCTTTTTTAAAATGTTCTTTTTATTATTAAGCTGCTTTATGTGACTGAAGAACATTTGGCCCATGTTGGGTTTCAATTCTTTCTAATGCACAAAATGACAGACAGTGTTAACTTGCTGCAAAGTGTCAATTAGAATAGAAAATTGTAGAACAACATTTTTATAACTTACATGCACTGAGTTGCTTGGCAAGGTGGCTGCCTCAGATTTTGTATCAATTTTCTGACAATTGTACTGTTCACATTTGAGCTATTTGGAAAAAATGTATTTTGGCACAGAACAGTTAGTAAAGCATTTTCATTTTATTCAGT